GCGAATGAAATCTGAAAGCAAACACTTTAAAGCGTAAAAATTGGTATTTATCGTGTTGGAGCTTTGAAATGGAAAAAAATGAAACCTATTTTTGGGAAATTATGCTGTATTATGCTATTGTGAAGGTGGAATTCGGTGCGAAGTAGAAAAAATATTAAAATATTAGAAATTTTCAAAGGAAATATTTAAAAAATTTTGAAAAATATTAAAATATAAATTTTCAAAGGAAATATTTGAAAAATTTTGAAAAATATTAAAATATAAATTTTCAAAGGAAATATTTGAAAAATTTTGAAAAATATTAAAATATAAATTTTCAAAGGAAATATTTGAAAAATTTTGAAAAATATTAAAATATAAATTTTCAAAGGAAATATTTGAAAAATTTTGAAAAATATTAAAATATAAATTTTCAAAGGAAATATTTGAAAAATTTTGAAAAATATTAAAATATAAATTTTCAAAGGAAATATTTGAAAAATTTTGAAAAATATTAAAATATAAATTTTCAAAGGAAATATTTGAAAAATTTTGAAAAATATTAAAATATAAATTTTCAAAGGAAATATTTGAAAAATTTTGAAAAATATTAAAATATTAGAAATTTCGAAAGGAAATATTAAACAAATTTAAAAAAATATTGGAATATTAAAAATTTTGAAATTTTGCCAAGGAACATTAAACAAAATAAAAGTATTAAAACATTAGAAACTTTTAAACGAAATATTGAACAAATTTTAAAAAATATTACAATACTAAAACTTTGAAAAATATTGAAACATTAAAAACTTTGAAATTTCGCCAAAGAAAGTTAACAACGATCAAATTCACATCGAACCAAATAAAAAACTATTGCATAGGTACTCAACGTATCATCGTTGAAAACCACTTGCAGTAACTTAACTACGAGGAAACTTTTCAGCTAACCCAAAAGCATCTTTCCACGTTCTCTGTTTTGCTTCCCCTCTACTCGTTAATTTTCTCTGGACGAATTAAAGGAGAGTGGATTAATCGCGGTAGAATCAAAGGATTTCAACGATCATACACAAAGAAGTATACTTTTCTCGATGATCATTGATAATTCTAACACGATCGGTGTATGAACAACAACGGTGTGCGATTCTCTTCTAACTAAACATCTAATCTCGACCCATTTTGCTGCTTTTTCCAAACTATACTCTGCGTGAAATTAATACACCAAAATACACGAATCAAAAATACCTGAACACATTTGCCTCGAGTGATTTTTGCTTAAAAAATATTCAACTTTCCCTTAGTCTTCTAATTTTCATTTTTTAAATTAGAGAATTTTCAATTCTATTAAGAAACAATTAAAATTAAAGCCTTATCCTCAGATCTATCAATGAGATTCCAATAACTCTAAAAACAAGAATTCTAAATTCTCAAAATATAAAGAATAGTATGTTTGAAAAATATTTAAACAACAGAAAAAAAATATCGGAGTATCCAAAATTCGAAACACCTGAAAGAATTTTTATTTTTCCCTGGAACAGATATCATTTGAACGCTGGAATTATTTCACAATACACCTAACCTAACCAAAAAACATGCCTCAACGTAGACTTCAATTTACTCGAAGCGAACGTGTTAACAAAAAAGAAGGGAATTACGCAACAGCTATTTCGGCATTGTTTCTCGCGAATGCGGAGAAAATTACGGTGCAAAGATCTGCCAAGAAACACGGTGCCAAAGACTGGCTAAAATGGTGCAAAGAAACGGTACGAAATAAAATTCTGGTGTGTCTCGAAAGCGCTTATGAGTTGGCAGCAATCTCTGGGCGAAACATTAAGCACACACCTATTATCTCTGAGAGAGGAAAATGAAATTTTCAGTGATGAAACATTTAAGCAGCAAGGGGTCGAATCTAACGGGTGGTTCTAGTCGTTTGGATTCCAAGATAGAATTCAGGGTGAGAGATAAAAGGGTTGGCAGTATCAAGACACTCGACAAATGCAAACGTATAAAAAAAGAAGAGAACAGGGACACGAAGAATACAATGGAACAATGTTTCCTCACATTTCCTTTTTTACATTGTAGTAGCTTTCTTTAAATGCTTTCCACCCCTTTGCTTGTGAACACTTGTCCAAGTAATGTGACAATTATAAATAGAAATAAAAAAACAGAAAAGAATCTGCTGAAAAAGATGAGCAATATACGTACATATATATGCTCCTATTTTCTTTAAATATATATATATAACATAACATTTACTCTGTATATGTACAACTAAATTCTGGCACGAAGAACACTGGTGTCGCGTTTCGAGACAAGAAAGGAAAATAAATGGGAAACGGACCCAAAAGAGACGCTCCTGTTGTTCACATTGCTCATAAAAAAAAGAAAAAGAAAAAAAAACAAACAAAAATAAGACAGTTGTATAAAAAATTAAATTATCTTTAAGGTAGTAAAATGTTCGCTACACTCTAAACAATGAATGCAACCAGGATATGATGAGAGATTAGAATAAATAGATCCTTTCTTCTGCAGGCAGGGATTAATAATAGTTGGCTTTTGGTCTTTGAGAATAAGAAAAGGGTAACTTTGTCACTTTGTGTCTTTTGAGCATTCACACTTAAGAGACCCATGCCTGGTTGCATTCTCACAAAAGGGGGCTCCGAATACAGTTGAGAGAATGAAAGAAACTCGATGAGTATTACATGGTAAAAACAAAATGCATTGCACTTGATCCGTGCTGTACAATGATAAAAAAAAGATGTCTAAAACATCACTCACATCCTCTGTTGTAAGAAGGTAAACTTAAGCTAGAGCAACACTTTTCTGGTTTACTCGAGTCTTGTGCTGTTGTTCAAAATAATTAGAGCGATTGACTGTTGGAATAGAAGTGAATCATGCAACTGGAAGCTGACCATACTCTGTACAAGTTAAAAGTCAGAAAAAAATTCTATAAATATGTAGTGTGTATGCATATCTGTCATATCTGAAACCTGTTTTATTCCACAAACAGAAGATCCTCTAATTAATTTGAACAATTTTGATAAACGGTTCCTCGCGCGCTAAAAACTCGTTAATTATTTGAGAAATTATTAAAATAGACGACGGTTAGACGACGTGAAATGCTGTTCTTATGCTCTGCAAGTGCTGGAGGTTTTCTAAGAAAGAAAAGAAAAAAAAAATAATGTTTGTCTTCCTAACAGAACGTTTAGATTTTCTTTTGTTCCGTGGAACATGCGAATAGTCAGAGCTGCCTCCATATATTTGGAACAGGAAGTAGTAAGAGCACTGAGATCATCCTAAATTTCACAACGGAAACAGCTATCGTTTATTTGGGCATGCGAATAGAAAAAAAATGAACAATAACGTAAATGGAAACAATAACCACAGCCACGTGACATATATACGTTCGTTCGTTTTCATTTTCTGATTAATGAAAAATAATTATGTTTAAGATTTGGCATGGTATGTGAGAAACAACCAGCACCGCCATATTGTAGAGAAGCGAAAAACTATCGTCGAAAAATTACCGCGATTTCTTACAGCTTATTGCAACGTCCACATCCTTCTTCTTTTTTTTTTTTTTTGTTATCAGTTTCTAAATTCGTTTATATATTAAAATTACGGTCGAGCACTACACGATCGAAAATTATATCGTCGTTTTGTGAGGAAAAACGTGACACGCAATGGCGAACTCCCTGATCAATTTTTTAATTTCTTTTCGATCGTGTAGTGAATCATTGTTTTCTATAGAAATGAATAGAGACGAGGTAGTAAAACGAATGTACTATGCTTCTTCCTTACTTTCGGTAAACTCACTTCGAAACAGATTGATTTGTCAATAAAAATCGTGCTCCCGCCAATTTTTTTTAAATTCCTTCTAACAGTGATACCAATATGAAAAATGTTTTGGCACAATATACGTCGAATACGAAGATCACACGAGGATGACGCGATTTTTTTTTTGTGTAAAAACCAACAAATCACCTCTATTCATTTCCGTTAATTTAGAATCGAATCTTTACAGCTTACTAGAGACGAATACACGAAAAATTATACATTCCTTGTCACTCGCTTTCTCACTTCCTTCCCCTTTCGAACCGATTTATCTGTACAGAATTGTTTTCTCTCTCTCTCTCTCACACTCTTGTCTGCGTCATGATTTTCACTTCGGATATACAGCCATACACGTATTTACAGAACTTTACAAAAAACGAAGAACGAAAAAAAGTATACACTCGAACTGCAACTGGCAAATCGAATTTTCCAATGTTCCGTTTGTCAACCTTTCCCGCCATTTATTTTGTCATGCGACCTCCCGCGTGAATTTGTCGAACTTCAAGCAAATGGACAGGTTCAAGCGCGAAGCTCGTTACGACGCGCGAAAATTAAAAAATAAAGAAAAAAACACCACGTCTCTTTTAACCGCCATTTTTTTTATCGAAAACACTTCGATGTCGCGTGTGACGAGAACTCGATTCCGTTCGATCGTGATGCATTTTAAACGAAAACGATAAACCGCCTAACAGATCTATATACAACACTGTACATTGTCGCGTAGAAACGAAAGAAATCGAAGGATAAAATGTTCCAGTAGTGAACCGAGCGAATTACCCAGTCGTCGAAACGCTGTTACACGCGTATAATTTCGTTGGACTAAATTACTTACCGGAAATCGGCGGCTGAACAAAATCCGACGAAATATTGTTAAAACCACTCAGCCGATCAGTTTTGAATATGACGGGTTTTCCTCGGGATTACACATGTTCCTCGGGAAGTCACGAAATTTTCATTTCACCGTAACAAAAACGACGATTCGCCGCGCGTGAACAAACAAACGAACGAACGAACGAAAAAAAAAGAGAAAAAAAAAACAGAAAAAGATCACACACTTCACTCGATCAGAGTTCGAAGTATTTAACCGTTAAACAGTCCTGCCCGTTCGCTAAGGCAAGATCACAGAAACATGTCTAAGGCTCATATAGTCATCCACGGCGTAAATTTACGTCATTTGAACGTGTCTCTCTTTCTCTCTCTACTTTCGCGATCTTATCGCTAAATGCAAGTGGAGTCTGGGTGCTGGCTGGCAGACTTTCGTGTTTTCGTCGGCTCCTTCGTGGTCAATTCCTGAGATGGCCTCCGCGGGCTACCCAGCGTAACTAACGCAGACGCTACTGCCAAACCGGCACTCTGACCAGCCGGCGTGTACGGTTCACCACCAGTAGGCAATCTGACTAGCAACGACAGGACCGCTGCTCTGTTTCCGCAACAGGGCTCCAGCGCGATCGGACTAGGGGCATCCTGTAAAATATTCGTGAGTGTCACAATAACACTAAATCGCACAATTCACACTAAAGATTCGCGAAATTCACGAACGCGATAGCGACACAGTCCGCCTCCATTGAAATTGCGAGAAATTTGAACGGAAGAACGATAATCGCAAGCGATATCGAGAGTTGAGATCGATTCAATAGAAATGGCGCTTGTGGCGCGAAATTTGAATTGGGCGCACAGTGCCCTGAATAATTTCAATACTTCAAATTCAATTATATTTAAATATTCATATTTTTTATAAAGCACAATATATTTAGTGCACTATTTTGAAGTCTTTTTTTATATATATTGCCGTGACGTAAATTTTAAAGCACATTATCAATGGAAACGGACTTGATTTAATATTACGTTTGATGTATAATGTGATGTGTGATATACTAACCTTTTTCTTCTTGCGGCAATTAGTTAACTCAGACTCGCTTCGCTCCGAGTCGGAATTATCGACGTCCCGCCTCTCGATTTCCACCAGAACTTGGCTGAACGCCCTACTGGCCATTTGCTCCATTTCTTCGAACATTCTCTGCCTTCTTCTGTACATGTCGTATTTCTGCTTGATCTTCCAGAGGACAGCAGCCACCAACAGCAGAGCGAGGAAGCACCTAGGCATGTAATCTCTAGTTTACAAGTAAATACTGCCTGAGGCTTAGGACAACACGAAAGTGTGGGTAATTTTGAAAAAAAAATATGAACAAAGTATACAACCGATGTGTAAATTGTATATTTGATCAATGGTATCATCAAAATTGATCGCTACATGCATACGTACACACATAAGTATTCATCTTTTTTTCCATGACACGAAGTTTCAAATACTCACGTGCAAAATGTTATAAAGAACTGCTGCAAGTTCAATTTGGAATACTGCGAGAAGGAAATTTGTATCCACACTGGTGGCTGAAAGTCGTACACGTAAACGTAGAACGTTGTCAGCGTGTTATTGTCCTCGCTACCAAAACCGTAGCCATCTTTGATAAATCGATGCTTATACATATTCGTCGTGCAGTTCACACCAAGAATGAGCGGTAACTCCAACGTGTTCCCCCTTCTCACGGTGATATTCATCTTCGCGAGCACAGAGCAAGTGATAGAGAACTCTGCATCGATATCAGGCTTCGGCGGTGAATTTTTAAAGTTGATCGCCCTGTACTGGCGATCCTCTTTCTTACTTAAATTGAACGTGAACTGATAATCGATCGCCAAATCATCTGTGAAGGAATTTTAAATATAAATCACTCCTTTAATTGAAAGAAAAAAAATTCTAATCTTCCTCTCCAAAAAAAGAACTTACAAAAACAAGATCCTTTATTTGTAGGATCCCCATGATAAAGGCTGGACACGTCGCATCGTTCACAATGATCCCCGATAATGCCTTTCGTTGTACAGAAACATTTACCCGTTTCGCTAGTGCACTGTGTGCCTTGGTTATTGCAGAAGCAGGCTGTACAACAGGAAAATACACGGTTTAACCAGTGGTATCGACAGATTAACAGGATATTAAGCTAGGTGAAATGAATTTACGTTGGCAAGTGGCTCCGTTCAGAGGACTGCCGTAATAGCCAGGGATGCATTTGTCGCAGTGAGGTCCGTAAGTCAAATTCCCACATGGTTGAATGCATATGCTGCTGTTCGAGAGACACTTACTGTGGCCGTTACATTGGCAGGCTAAAATTGTAATTCAGAGTGCATTCTGTAGTACATTCGCACAGATGCTACGCAATAGCTTCTAAACATCCTACACAGTGACCGAGAAATTCCGTCACTTGATCATAGTTCACTTACTAGGACATTTGGTAAAGTACCATCGTTCGAATGGGCAGGTTTCCAAGCTTTTCCTGCTTGGACCACGAGCTCCACCCGGTAGACACAGTCCCATCCCTGTTCCTGAACCGTCGTCGCACCATCCACAGCCGGGATCCGCGCGACACGAAGCACAGGACGAGTAAAACGTGCACCATTCCTTGCCAGTCTCTGTGGCGCGACACTTGGCGTCGATAGTGGTCCATTCGCGACACTGTCCGTATGGAAAACTTGCTGGATACGCGTTCTTATCCACGCACTTCTTCTCGTTCTGACACCAGATGCAACCAGACTCCGTGCAGTTCTTGCAAGAGCTATAATCCACGCATGGGCTGCGACAGGAGTCTATAGAGAGCCTCTGTGCTTGAATAGTCCCGTTTAAAATGGTCATCTGAAAGAAATATTCGTGAATTAGATTGTCTTTTCTTGTATACAACGTGTACTAGTAATTCTATTCATCTTTAATTTTTCTGGTAACATTTCTTGATAACGTAGACAATAGAATGAGCAGAGATGAAAACATTTTTACACCTATACTCACATCACGAGCTTTCGAGTGCGGTTTACACCGATCAGGCCCGTTCGACCAGGACCAAATGCAGTGCGGATTGCTGGAACACGCGTGGCACGTGTGCAATTGCAAGCACTCGATGCCAGTGTGTGCATCACATTGTTCCAGATCGGTGATCGCTTTGGTCGGTGGAGCGTTCGCGTTATCCCGGCAGATCTCGTGTGAACAACTCTTGCCGCACCACAGGCAATTGTACGAGGTCTGTACGCATGCCACGCAGTCCGTGAGCAGCTTGCACAGCTCCTTGTGAGACGTCATCCCGCGCGGCGGTGTGTCGTCCAGGCATCTCATGTAAATTCCGTCATGCATGTCGTCGTTAAGTAGCACGTGCCGAGGTATCTTGGTGATCTGAACACACCTGTTCTCCCGCTTGTCCCACACGCACTTCACGCCTGTCCTCGCGTTCAGACACTGGTTCTGGCTCGTCAAGTGCTCGCAGTTCCCCGGCGTATACCTGAAATTTTAGAAAAATTGTCGTACAATATGGACTTGCACTTTCTACCTTTGTTGAAAGTGTGTTATATTCAATACTTTTCTTCCTTGGTTTTATCAAATGGTAGCAAACACAGAATGCATTACTAAAATTATCCACTCTTCTATTCACCTGAACATATCAGACAGCATCTGTCCATCGAATCCTCCGTAGATGTACATCGACTTCTCAAAAACAGTGGCACTGTGCCCGTACCTAGGCAAGTCGGTTATCTCTTTAGGCATGGGAAATTGATGCCACGAGTCGCACGTGACGTCGTACGCTATCGTGTCAGCTGAGTAACACCTTGTTCCATCCGAATGCTGCGAGTCATTGTGCATATTCCCACCGAAGACGATCATCAAGCCGCCAGAGACGAACACGGCCGTGTGGAAGAAGCGAGCAGATGGTGCAGACGTGAGCAATTTCCACTCGCGATAATTCGGATGATAAGAGTACAACCGGTTGGTCAACACCTGTGTGCTCTGCGACTCGGACACGTATCCTCCGTACACGTAGATCAAGTTGGTCAACGGATCGTAGGCGGAAGTATGACCGTAACCACCTTTCACAGGGAAACCGACTGTGTCCACGATCTGCCACTCACGGGTGCCCAAGTAGTATTCCTGGACCACGTTCAGGTAGCCATATTGAGGTGAATATCCAAATATCACGACCATCTTCTCCTTCCTGCCGTGGCTCTGCACTAGGGTCGCAGTGTGTCCGGCTACCTGTGTAAAATGACGCGTTAAATAAAGGTATTCAGATTGCTTTAGTGTGTAATATGTTACAGAACATAAATAGAACAAAAGTCTGTTATTATATTAAGACTTATTATGCTTATAATTTCTCTTTGTTTTCCAAATGAAAAATACAGTATTTTATTTTGAGCAATGGGTTAATATAAAGGGTTGACGTACAGAGACATTATAAAACCAAAAATAATTCTTAATAAAATGATATTCAATGGAAGAAAAAGATGGAAAGGAAGTCCACCTTTAAGGGACCGCGCATGGTCTTGTTATGGTAGTTGTCGTGCACGGTCACGTTCTCCCAGACTTTGGCGGACACGTCGAACGCCCATATCTCGTTAGTCACCGTGGAATTTGGCAGTACGCCGCCGTACATGAATATCTTGTCGCCGAAAAGCACACACGAGTGAGCGTAACGCGGCAGAGGAACCTTTCCCTCCACGTGAGGTGTCTCCCAGACGTTTCCATTGTAATCGTAGACGTAAATCATCTTAGCACGATGATAGCTCTCGCCGCCGACCACGTACAAGGAGTCCTTCCAAACGATGGAGCAATGACTAGCCGAACCTTCTGGTGAGAAATCCGTGTAGGAAACGCTCTCCCAGAATCCACGGTCGCTTCTTTGGCTGCAGTCGGAACCTGAACATGTAGAAGGTTGTTCTTAGGAATTTGATTGCCAAGTAATGTACTTAAAATAAAGAGTAGAGGAATTTTACAGTTTTGTGTGTCACATGGAGTAAGAAAAGTGAGGTAATTTATGTGTTTAATTATTTCTAGATGATTTTAGGTATTAATATTATAATGTAGAAGTAATTACAAACTTGTTCAACATTGTGTGTCTATTTATATCACTGGGTAGATATAGACAAGGTAATTAAGTTTATACCTATTTTGTAACGAATTTAATTAACCAGATAACGTGTGAAAATGATTCACAGAGGTTCTTTAAATATCTAACAAAGATCAATTGTCTTTAACAAGTAGTACTACAATTTCCTTCCTATCATACACAACAAGTATTTAATTCTGTTAGTCTCTCAAAGAATTCACATTCAATTAGAAACAGTGGTAAAGCATGTCTGGAAGTTCGAGAAAATCTTAGACAGTTTTCAACCAATATTCGCAACAAACACATCTTCGGTTCTTGTAACCACAAAACGGTTAAAGTTCTGAACGATTTCACGGAAGAATTCTTCCAATCCATTGTTACAAACTTCCGACAAACTTTCTACCTTGGAGACCAGCCTTACCCACAGGAGAAGCCTCGCTTGTCGTATACTCTTTTACTATGTGCAACGAAGTTAAGAATTGCTGGGTAATAAAGTACGTGAAACTATTCTTCCCTTTTTCGTTCTTTCTCCCCGTCTATCCTATCTCCCCCGATCGAATAATCTAATATAATTCTCTAGAAATACTATCAAAACTCCTAATCTTCCTCCTTATCCACCTTCTTCCTGTGATTCTAAACTTCCATAAAAAGTCCTAACTTTTATTCAACTTTCATGGAACCTTTTAATCTTTGCCCAACACTGACCCTCACAAAATTGAAAACCTTCTTTCTTTCTTCTTTTTTCATCGAACCTTTTCTCGAATTAAAGATCCAAACGTAACTTTCGTGAAATTTTCTAATCTTCGTCCAACATTGACCATCACAAAAATGGAAACTTGTGAAAGAATTCCTGAACTGTTCATCTATTCAACATCCAGTGATCGTACGAGGGTTTTGAGGGCTTTCTTGTTTGAGCTGTGTCCAATTGTTCTTGTGTTCCAACGTTTCTCCAGCATTGAACACAGCTCAAACCGTGAAATCTCCATTAACAATCCAGTGTCCAGAGGTTTTCAGCGTAGAAGCTCACCCTTGAAGCCGTGCACGCAGTCACAGTGATGGCTCTCGCGGTTACATTCACCCTGTCCATAGCTGTGCGAGCAATTGTTAGGGCAGACTTGAATCTCGCAAGCTTCGCCGGTCCACGTGGCGTCGCACGTGCATACGCTGTCAATGCAAACCCCATGGCCGGAACAGTCGATGTGTGAATACCTATGGACATCGGGAAATATGTAAACACGTCAGAAGGAAGAAGAGATAGGCTGTGCAAATCTTTAAGGTTACTACTACCGCGTGTCGATCCTAATCGCCACGGTAAACACGTTTCTTATCGTATTTACTCGGAGATAGAATAAACGTTTGCCTGATCGTTTTGCTTGAACAAACATCGTTGCAGGAAAAATGTTGAGCGTGGGTGTGTCGGCTGGAGAATAGAATCGTTCTATATATCGGTCTTTAAACGAGGTTTCCTTTAATCTTCTCAACTGGTTTTCAAACAGTATTCATAACGAAGTGAGGGGGGCAATGGGTTATCGACGATGGTATGTAAGGTTTATCTGTACGATTGTTTTTTCTTCTTTTCGCGAATGATGCTAATGAGATATCGTCGACTTGGATTCGACACAATAAACAGAAATCAGTGTAATCATGCTTTAATGAGATTATTAGGTCATGTAACGTAAAATGTAGGCTTGAAATATCACACTCGTGTTGACTGACATAAAAATCGTACGAACATTAAATCAACGCGAAAAAACTCAAAACTTTTCATCACTCTATTAACGAACAATATATTTTTATGATTGGCATGGTCGCTGCCACCGACGCAACATATGCGTTCTAGAGTGCATTAACCAGCGTGCAATTCATTTTCTGGTGGCAGTGACCATGTCAAAGTATGCTTTTCGAAAAAAAAAAAATTGTACTGTATTTTCAATTCCATTCTTGTTCAAGCTGCAAACAAGCGGTACGTAATAATTTCAAACTGACCGTAAGAAAATTTGATCGATCACTCTAACTGTTATCCCGAAAAACTTCGAGTGAAATAAAAAAAAAAGAGGATGATTATCACCTGCTGGGGCAAGCGTTGATCTTGTAAGTAATGTTAAAGCCGCTCATGTTGTACGCGATGTCCGAGTAGAAATGCAAAAGCGCGCTTCCGGAACGGGCGATCACTTCCGGTACGCGGCGTCCGTGGTAGCCATCTTTGTACATCAATCCGGAGAAAACGGCGAGCAACGGAGCCTCGACGCTGTCACCGTCGTAGATGTACAGGTAATCCCAGCCGCATTCCGTCGCGAATTGCTCCACGTGCATACGTATCGTGGAGTTTGGGCTGCTCTCGATCAGCCAGGAACACTTTGCGTCCGCGGTGTAATTGCCAACACCGTCCTGGATCTGCCCAGTCAACTCCGTGAGCCTGGAAACGACAAGAGACGTCCATAGATCAATCAATCCGTTGTTCTTGATCAGAGGATCACAGCACGATTGATGTATGTAAAATGTGGATAAAATGAAAGAGGTGGGACCTCTTTGTTGCGTTTGATAGTTTATTAGTAGTATGGACACGTGTTAATTTGTTCGAGTGAATGACATTTCGAGAATTTAGAATTCCTACGTATTGTGCGGTTTGTTTCTAAGCCTCAAAATATAAGCTCAAACTTAATCTCAAAATTATTTTGAGGGTTTCTAGGGTAAATGACACTTTGAGAATTTGGAATTCTCGTTTTCACACTTGCGTCGTTTCAAGGCCTCAAACTTAAGCTCAAACTCACACTCACGTTCAAAATTAGTTTGTAGGTTCTCGAGCGAATGGAATTTTGAAAATTTAGAATTCTTATTTTCAGGTTGCGTCGTTCCGAAGCCTCAAACTTAAGTTCAAACTCAAACCCACGCTCAAACTCAAGCTCAAAATTTGTTTAGAGGTTTTCAACAAACAAAATTTGTCTCAAGCCTCAAACTTAAGCTCAAAAATAGTTTGAGGTTTTCGAGTGAGTGGCGTTTTGGAAATTTAGAAAGCCTCAAACTCAAGCTCAAAATTCGTTTGGAGGTTTTCAAGGAATGAAATTTGTCTCAAAGCCTCAAACTTAAGCTCAAAAATAGTTTGAGGTTCTCGAGTGAGTGGCGTTTTGGAAATTTAGAAAGCCTCAAACTCAAGCTCAAAATTCGTTTAGAGGTTTTCAAGGAACGAAATTTGTCTCAAAGCCTCAAACTTAAGCTCAAAAATAGTTTGAGGTTCTCGAGTAAGTGGCGTTTTGGAAATTTAGAAAGCCTCAAACTCAAGCTCAAAATTCGTTTAGAGGTTTTTCAACGAACGAAATTTGCCTCAAAGCCTCAAACTTAAGCTCAAAAATAGTTTGAGGTTCTCGAGTGAGTGGCGTTTTGGAAATTTAGAAAGCCTCAAACTCAAGCTCAAATTTGAAGTTGGTGCGGTGAGATAAATTGAGCCTCTTTCATTTGATGAGTTGTTAGTATGGACCAGTGGTAAGTTATTAGGTTGTCCGGAAATAAATTGCGGTTTCTGTACATGAGATTTAAAGACGTATACTTTTGCTTAGAAAGAATTTATTTAATCGAAATAATTTCCATTAGATTCTATACACTTTTTCCAACGTTTTACAAGAATTCCTATTCCATTACAATAAAAATCAGGAGTTCTAGAATGAATAAATTCCACGAAGGTATTTACAGCATCCTCTTTATTGCGGAAGATTTTTTCTCGCAAAAAGTTATCAAAATGTTGAAAAAAATGATAATCTGTAGGGGACAAGTCGGGGGAATAAGGAGGGTGTTTTAATGTTTCATAACCCAATTCGTGTATCTTCCGAATCGTGAATTGTGATACGGTCGAGCGAGCGTTATCGTGTAGGAGTATTGGCCCCTTACGATTTACCAAAATTGGTTGTTCAACAAATAACTTTTTATCCATTATAATCATTAGTTGTGCTTTCGCTGAATACACATGATCGATATTGCGGCCTAATTTAAATTCATATAAAAATATGGTACGAATTTGCTTCTTGTCCATTGTTACGTTGTTAAGTTGTACTCAGAACAAACGACGGTAAAAAACAAAAGTGTATCGCTTGTATGATAGCGCGACGTCTACGCGCTCAAATGGTATATTACTTAATAAACATAAATTGAAAATATATAGTATAGAAAAGCCCTAAATATGACACAACAGAAAACCGCAATTTATTTCCGGACAACCTAATAGTTCGGAGGTTCTCGAGTGAATGACATTTTGTGACAATTTCGAACTTTTATTATCCGCGTGCATTGTCTGAAAGCCTCAAACTTCAACACAAATTCAAACTTAACAAGATGAGATAAGTTGAGTCTCTTTGATTTTGAATATATAATATGTATATTATTGGATATGGACCCGTGGTAATTCAGTTTCGACATTTTCGTGTGGATGACATTTTGAGTATTCAAAGTTCGTATTCTCTTTTTGCACTGTTTCAAAGCCTCACACCACTTTGCGCCCACGTTATAGCTGCCCAGACCGTAGTGGATCTGCCCCGTCGGCTCCGTCAGCCTGGAAACGATAAAGAAATCTCTCAATGAATCGATCTGGACGGGGATGAGAGCACGATTGATGTGTGTAAATGTCGATAAGATGAGATAAATTGAGCTTCTTTCCTCTGATACTTTTATTAATATGATCTCGTGACAAATGAATTTCGAGATTTTCTCGAGTGGATGACATTTTCACAATTTACCATTCTTATTTTCCCATTAACATTCCTTTTCTTTTTGTTTCAAAGCCTCAAATTTAAAGTGTCGATAAACTCAGACAAATTCAGCCACTTTAAATTCGATTCTTTATTACCATTAGAAATACTCGTGGTAAAATCGAGCTCGAAGATTTTCCAGTTGAACGATATTTTCGCTTAATTCTCTATGTATCATTCCGAAGCCTCGAAACCACTCAGATCTCGTTGACAGATCTGAGGATAAGAGAGAATTTCACAGGGTGAGAGAAATTTTTCGAAGATCTTCCAGGTAGACGAAATTCCTCGAATTTGTAATTTCCTCCTTTAATCTTTAAACACGAAGAAACGTAAGTTTTCCATTCCTCTCCCAGTTTCCTTCGATGTCACACCACGTCCACAATTCTTGAAAAATTTCACTTGCATATTAAAAACCACTTTGCGTCGAGTTATTGATAAATAACGATTCGAAAGGGTACAAGTTTATCTGCACGATATCTCTGGCAACACTATCTCTCTTCTCTCCTCCTCTCTCTCTCTCTGTTCTCCACGCTGTTTCCAAGAACAACAGTAATACGAAGAAAACAGTTGGCCAGGATTATTGCACTTTCGAGTGGTTTTATCAGCGAGCCACGAAGTAGGTGACTCGCCGCAGATCGCTTATAACGAGCAACATTTTCCGTGCAGGTAACAAGCAGCTCTATAAGCTGCGGGGAGCAATATCGTTTCCATCAATCCAACGGATCGAGACAAAAGCGCCGTCGCCGCTTTGTGACCCGCACCGCACAATAAAAGAGGCACGTTTTACCAAAAGTCGACCGGTGAAAACGTTTCAGCCTGATTAAAGCGGCCGCTCCCTCTCGAAACAACGAAGAAAGAAAACTTGCGTTTTATCAGTTGGCTAATACCTTAAATCTCAATTGTTTCAGATCTTCGGAACGAAAAAATTGGGACTGAATGGAGAGGTAAATTCGAACACTTGTCGATTTATGGTGAGAACGATTTTGTCGTGAATTTTAAGCAATTTCAGTGAGTAATAGGAGGCAAATTTTGGAAATTTTATTGTTGCAATAATTTGTCAGAGGCGTTGTTACAAGTCAAAAGTGAAAATAGAGGAAAAAATGGCATACAGACTTAATTTTTTTATAAATTTTTAATCAATTTTCGATGCCATTTAGGCGGGGAATAGAAAACTTTTGAAATTGCGAATTTTATTGTAGCAAATGTAAAACTAGAGAAAAATAATGGCACACAGGTTTAATTTTCTGTGATTTTTTTACAAATTTTAAAACAATTTTCGGTGCAATTTAGGCGGGGAATAGAAAATTTCTGAAGTTGCAAATTTTATTGTTGCAATAATTTGTCGGAGACATTGTTACAAGTAAAAAGTGAAAATAGAGAAAAAAATGGCACAAAGATTGAATCCGCAACGATTTTGTTATAAATTTCGAACAAAATTTCGATCAAATTCTTTAAATTGCTAATTTTATTACCTGGATTACCATTGGAGAAAATAGGAAAATAGTGCACACATATGTATGTTGGAGAAAAATAGCACGGTGGTTCAATCTGCCCTGAATATTTTATAAATTTCGAATCAACGTTGTCAATCTCCAGTGTAATTTCTCCATTGGAAAAAAAATTAAAAGTGAAACTAGGAGATAGGAAAGTAAAACAAGAAATACGAGAATTTTTTCCACATTTGGCGTCAACGCTGAAATTTGGGGTAACGAAAAATTCTTAACATCGCAAATTTCATTGTACAAAAATCCTTGCGTATACACAGTGGTCCAAAAATTTAAAAAATCGCTAATTTCATTTTACAAAAATCCTTGCTTATGTACAGTGGTCCAAAAATTCTTAAAATTGCTAATTTCATTTTACAAACATCCTTCCATACACACAGTGGTCCAAAAACTTAAAAAATCAGTAATTTCATTTTACAAAAATCCTTACACACACACAGTGGTCCAACAAAAATTTTAAAATCGGTAATTTCATTTTAGAAAAATCCTTGCGTATGCACAGTGGTCCAAAAAATTTAAAAATCGGTAATTTCATTTTAGAAAAATCCTTGCGTATGCACAGTGGTCCAAAAAATTAAAAAATCGGTAATTTCACTTCAGGAAAATCTT